CTATTGTAATTCCACAGTGCCTTATTTTTCATCACTGCTGCATTCCTGTTACCTTTGGTCGTCACGTATATTTCGTGTTCCCTTAAGTACTTGGTTCCATTGCTTATCCATACGCCCAGATATTTGAATTTATCGGTTATCTCTAGTGTGACCTCCTGTATTCTAAGCTCACTGCCTTCTTTATCATTAAAAATCATGACTGCTGATTTTTTTATTACTGAATCTAAAATCTAACCTATCTCCCTCATTACCGCAGATGTCCATCAATCTCTGCAAATCTTTCTTGTTGTCGGCCATAAGCACTATAATATCTATTAAATTAGTGCTAGTAGTGCCTGATCAATGAGTTTTCCTTGTTTGACTAAGGAGAGGTTGAAGCCAAGTCCACTTCCCTCTAATTTGGCCTCTAATTCTTGTAGGTACATCATGAATAACAAGGGTGACAGTGGACACCCATGCCTAAGTCCCCGTTTCACCTCTGTGCGCTTCGATACCTGTTTTTTTCCACTTTATAACTACCTTGTTATCTTTATGGATTTCCTTTACAAGATTAGTGACTACATCTTCCACACCCAGTGTGTCTAGTATCCACCACAAGTCCTCTTCAACCACGCTTTCTTAAGCTCCCTTGATATCCAAAAATGCTAGCCACAGGGGCCTGAGTTCCTTTTCTGCTATTTCGATGCACTGCGTCAGTGAGAACAGATTGTCTTCCAACCTCCTGTGTTTCCGAAATCCATTCTGCAGTTCCCCCAGCACCCCTTCATCCTCTATCCATGCCTGCAGTCTTTCCTTTATAATCTGCATCACCAGCCTGTAGACCACTGATGTCACTGCTATAGGACGGTAGTTGTTTATGTCATCTTTGTTCCCCTTTCCTTTATGGATCATGCTCATCCTGCTAAGTTTCCATTCATCAGGGACTTCACCATCGATTATTGTTCTGCTCACTGCCTCTCTCAAAGTCTGTTTAGACTTCGGACCCAGTGTCTTCAGCAGCATAATTGGAATGCTATCTGGCCCTGTTGATGTACTGCTTGGAACCCTCTTCTCAGCCCTTTCCCACTCTCGTTGTGAAAATGGAGCCCTTGTGCCACTTGATTCATCCCTGTCTATTGTTGTGCATAAGGCACTTCTATGTTGAAATTTTTCTGTCACCCTTGTTCTTAGATATTCAATAGCTTCGTCCCCTTCTAGCCTAGCACCTTGGGCTGTAGTTATAAAACTCTGCTCTCGGCTCGTCTCATTTCTTAGGGAGTTTACATGGTCTCAAACTTTCGCAGCTGCCTTTCTGTCCTTTTTATGTACTTCTGCCAGCCACTGAGCACTCTTTCTTCTAATCTTTTCATTGATCAGGAGGGATGCTTCCATTCTAGAGCTTAGAAAGATTTCCCATTTTCTTTCAACATCATCTGTAAGTTCACCCCGTTGCTTAGCATGTCTGTGTTCCCTAGAGGCTTCCTGACGTTTTGCTATGGCTCTCTTAAGTTCCTCATCCCACCAACTCTTGGGCTTGTGTCTTCTTTCCCGGGGTGACTTGTCACGTGCCTTAGCAAGCTCTAGCCCAAACAGTCTAATCAGATTTATGTATGTCCACACAGTTTTATTATCCTCATTGATTACTTTTTCATTTGTTTAGTAGTAATTTTTGTTTGCTTTCTGAATGAAATTTTCTATAGTTGCTCATCTTGTCTCCTTCCCACTTTCGCTGCTCTTCCAAAACTTAGCTTGATACATTTGTGATCACTACCCAGACTTCTGAATCCACCTTCATCTATGTGCATTCCCCTGAGCTTATCATACATTCCATTTGACATCAGTGCGTAATCTATCGTTGACTGCAGCCTTCCTACCTCCCATATTATTTGCTCTTCACACTTCTCGGTACTGTTGCACATGATCAAATCATGCCTTTCACACATATCCATGATCGTTTTGCCTGTTGAGTCGGTATAGCCATCTATATCTTCTATGTGCGCATTCATATCTCCTAGTATAATTATCTCGCACGCTCCTCCCAATCAACGCCCTTTGAAATACACTCGACCATTGCCTGGTTTTCCTTTTCGGCCTTCGCTCCCGTCCACAAGTACACCAAACCAAGAAGCGGCATTCGCCCTGCCACTTTCCCTTTTAGCCATAAATGTTCCTTGCACTCCTGCTTGACCCTTTGCCAGTCTGTACTTTTATGAATGAATGCCCCAATACCCCCCCCCCCCCTTCAAGCTGGTTGCTCCATGTCCCGAAGATGTGTATCCACAACCCCATATACTATCAGTTTCTCCTGCCTCAACTGCTCTTCTATCTCTTCCTACTTTAACCTATTCCTCCCACCCTGCATGTTAATATAGCCTACGTCTGACTTAGCTCGGCCCTTGTGCTTACGTCGATTTCTTCTGCCACAGACTTCGTGTGGCTTGAATATTTGTGCCCCTTTAGGTCCGTCTTTGGCTACACTGTTGGCCTCAGAGCTCTGGGTCCCCCTAAAAAAGTTATGGCTTGGCGACTCATTCTGTTACCGACCCTCCTGCCTGTCGCAACACTGTAGTGAATGCCATCCTGTGCAAAGGGGCGAGCGCCGGGCTTGTACACGTCTTGGTTAACTTCTATTACGCTGTATCCAAGTTGCCGGCTCAAACCCTTAGATCACATAATTGGCCTCCACTACCCTCCTTTCAATCTCACGAGGCTGCCCCGAGACCTCTGGGACTGTGCATATGGTCACATGCACACTCCCAGAGGCTTCTCGGAGCTTACGCATCCCATCCTCTAACTTTCTCTGAAGGTTCTGATCCTTGCTATTCAACCCATCATTGAGCCCAGCATGATTAATGAGTAGATTTTCGCCCTCCACGCCGTTTTCTACAACCTCCTGAGCTTTAGCCAGTGCATCCACCATGCTCTTCGCTGACTGCGCCTCCACCTTGACTCTCCCATCTTCCTTCACTGTCTTGAAGACGCCATCCATAACCCTGGCCACGTTAGAGTCCCCCACCACTAGGACCCTTCTACGCTCCAATCGCTGGCTTCCTGTTTGTGATGGCGCCCCTGTTTGCTTCACCTGTTTCTCTCTCTGCCGTCTGTCCTGTGTTTCTGCCCTGCTTGAAGACTGCTGCGTCATTGAGCTGTATGTTCTCGGAGCCTTCGTGCTGTGGCCAGACACTGCGGCCCTCTGACCTCCCTTCTCGCGTGTTCCTTCCTGCCTGTCGCCTTCTCCGCTACCCACGCCTTCCGTCTCACACCGCTCAGGGCCGGGGCAAAGCGTCATTAGCTCCTTTACCCGCTGCTCTAGCTCGGTCCGCCCTTACCGTTCTTTTCGAAGGTCGCCCTTCATTTGCTCTAATAGGCTGGCGATAGCCTCCCCCCGCTCACGCGATGCTCCGAGCTAGAGTGCCTAGTCCGAGCTGTCGGATAAATGTCTGGATGGATGGATGTGGCTGTACCCTTTAGATCGGGTGGCGGCTAACGCCACCTAGCCGTAATACCTAGTGAACTAATTATTATATTTATCTTTTTTTCTTCTTTAAATAGTGAGGTTGAGGATTCGTACTGTGCAGTGAAGGGTTTATTTTCACTCGTGCATTGACTTTAGCCTCCAATCAGATAACCTCCTTCTAGTTAAGTCTACCCGCTTAAAGTCTATTTTGCCCTCCTTGTCCCTAAACCCCAGTTCTTTGAAAAACTCTGCGCCATCATCCTGAACTATATGGTGAAGCCCTTTACAGAACATCATCAAGTGTTCGGCAGTTCCTTCTTCCTTTCCACACGCACCGCATACTGTGTCTACCCTTTCGTATTGGGCCCGACATGTCTTGGTTCGCAACACTCCCGTCCTGGCCTCAAACAGTAGAGAACTAGCCCGCGTATTATCATAGATCCTTTGTTTGGCAATTTCCTGCTTAAAAGTTTGATAGATCTCTAGTGCGGACTTCCTAATCACGCCAATTTTCCACATGTCAGTCTCCGTTTTCTTCACTTTCTTCTTAACCGATAGTTCTTTTTGGTTTGGCCATTTACGGTTTTCTAAGTATTTACCAGCAAATTTCCTGGTTGTAGCTGAATACCTTCCTAGCCCAACGCTCCTCCCCCATTTCTTTCAATCACTTCTCAAATTTTATCTTGCTGCTAGATTCCCTTCACTCAAATGATGTCCATCCCATATCACCTTGTACTCCATGATTTGGTGTATTCCCGTGAGCTCCTAAAGCAAGCCTACATATTCCACGATGCTCAATTTCTAATCTTGCTTGAACTTCTAATCTCATGCACAAGACCGCATTGCTGAACGTCAGCCCAGGAACCATGACCCTTTTCCATATTCCTCTCACAACATCATACCTATTGTAATTCCACAGTGCCCTATTTTTCATCACTGCTGCATTCCTGTTACGTGTAGTCGTCACATATATTTCGTGTTCCTTGGATATTCGGTCTCATTGCTTATCCATACACCCTGATATTAGAATTTATCTGTTATCTCTAGCAGGACCTCCTGTATTCTAAGCTCATTGCCTTCGTTATCAATAAAAATCATGACTGCTGATTTTTTTATTCCTGAATCTAAAATCTAACCTATCTCCCTCATTACCGCAGATGTCCATAAACCTCTGCAAATCTTCCTTGTTGTCGGCCATTCGCACTATATCATCTGTGTACATTAATGCTTGTAGTGCCTGATCAATGATTTTTCCTTGTTTGACTAAGGAGAGGTTGAAGCCAAGTCCACTTCCCTCTAATTTGGCCTCTAATCCTTGTAGGTACATCATGAATAACAAGGGTGACAGTGGACACTCCTGCCTAAGTCCCGGTTGCACCTCTGTGGGCTTGGATACCTGTTTTTCCCACTTAATAACTACCTTGTTACTTTTATAGATTTGAAGATAGACACTAGCACCAGAGTTCCCTCCAGTGTATTCGCAATGCACACAGACGGTCGCTCCACGTAGCGGCCGGCGAGAGCAAAATTTCAGAGATGATCCGTTAAGGAGTGGAGCCAGGCGGGGTTCTCGTTTCTTATACCAACTTTCGTGCACGCGATGGCAAAATAATCTAAAAGCAACAGGATGTGTTGCGGGCCTCGGTGCACGAACAGAGCGGTAACGGATGAGATTAGCCTTCGTTCGTTTCCGCTGGACGTGCGACTAAAGAAGGAGAGGTGAAGGATGAGATAAACCTTCAGTCGTTTCCGCTGGATGCGCGACTCAAGACGGAGCGGGAGGTGAAGCTCCGTATAGGCAAGCCTGTGACGCTTCCAATGAAGGTTTGCAGTGCACATTTTGTCACCGAAGACTTCTTCTGGAGCAGCATTGGTAAGCAAAATGCTAATTGTTGACATTGTTCACGAAAGCACAAGGATTATGCTTTAACGATATTGTTGAAATGAACGGCGCCGTCGATGCGGGACGATGGACGTAAACACCGCAACACTTGGTTGTTGCTTTTGGAGAGTTAGGAAGCTAGTGCCTAGACGTCTGTCGCCCGCATAAAACGAAGGGAGCGTTAATTTTGGCATTCTGTCGGTCTTTTTAACAGACCGTAATGCGCGACTGCACTTTGAAGTGTCTTTCCTCGCTGGCTCTTTCATTGCGATCAGGGCCAATCCAGATCGGATTTCGTAATCAACACTGACCGCTGTTACACGGCAAAAACCTGTCCGGATCATGTTTGGTGCAGACGTCAACGAAACCGTGATCATATCAATCCCAATCACACTTCATCGCAAGTGGCATAGTAGGGACGATTGATCTGGACCGAGCCCGATGCAAATCGGCCCTGATCGCGAGAAAAATTTTCTTGTGACACAGGCTTTGCTTTTTAGCGTGATAGCTTTGCGACTGGTTTTTAAGTCTCATTAGAGTGCATTAGCAATCTGGTTTAACCAACAAAACATTTTAATTTTTAATCCCATCGATAGCCGGTGCATCATTATGAATGCAGAATTACCTAAAATGCTTGGCTGCCATGCATGCATTGAATGCTCGTTTAACAGTAAGGTATTCGAAATGTGCTTTTCTGTAATGTACTAAATTAGATTGTTGTTGTGGCACATGAAATTGCAGGATTTCATTTCAATCCTCATTTTATGTAGATCCCAAATTGTGGACAACTAATCGAAGACGACTGAAGAAGACTGCTGTGCCTTTGCAGAGCTTGCCCATAAGAACACATGAAAAAGAAGACCTGGCAAGGATTCAGGAAGCAGCAGCGCGAGATGCCCGTGCCTCTGTTAGACATGAGCATGGTATGTTTGTTATTATTAACATTTATTATGACACGCCCCGCAGGGCATACAACAAAGAAACCATGGAAGACTGTGGAATTGACCATAAGTGGGTCGCACTGTGGTATATTGTTTATGAGTCGGCATTTGTTCTGCTAGATTGGAAAAGATAGTAAGCCCGTAGATAGTCATATTTTCAAGTTTTTTTCAGTGCGCGAACACAGCAAAAAAGGGACAGGACAGGGTCCACGAGGCTGAAGAGTTCACGACACTTCTTTTGTTTAGCTGCTATGGGATCGTTCCCGAGAAGTTGTATTTGGAGGGCTTGACGGTACAGGCGAGCCTGCCGAAGCCATTCCGAGCGTAGAATCTTGGATACTCTTAAATTGCCAACAGAGGGAGTGAGGCCGCCAAACAATGCCTTGATTCAGGAAGTATCTTTAGTCGGATGCAATATCCCAGAGAGCATGCGCAGCAAACCACCACACTGATTAAACTGACAAGAACGGCTCATAGAAGAGGATATATAGATGCCCGATGTACTAGAAATGTAACTAAAATGTAAGATAGTCAGTTGTAAGAAAATAGTCAGCTCTGTAATGTCAAACCAATTCAGTTCTGTTCTGGAAGTGCTGCAAGCTGTTTAAGCACTACTGGCTGTCAGCGATCTCTAGAAAAGATATCCACTATCCATTGGCAAAGGTTTCATCTCTCCTAGATTTCTTAGGATTCTAATTTCTTCTGCAACCACCATAATGTTGCAGACACTGCAAAACAATGCTACCCGACATTAAAGCTACCACTGAATTGTGCGTCATGGAAATGCTAAGAATGCGCACAATGAAATTCAAGTGTCATAAGTGCATGACACCAATATTAGCAATTGGTTGAAACGCGCACTCACCACTTCGAGAAACAAAGGCACAAAGAAGACGCACACAGAGCCCACTTTTGTGTCTTTGTTTGTCCTTATGTAGAGTTCACACTGCCTTTGTGTCTCTGTCTTTTGTGTTGAATCTGTGCCTTGCAATCACATTTGAAAGAAACTTGAAAGTGCCTAAGTCTTTAAAAAAAATGCAACAGCTGGCTGCAGAAATGCATGGCTGACGAACCGTAAACGAGCCAGACTGATTGGCAGCCAAAACTTATCGCTCTGACTATAAGACATGAAAGAGCTGCTGTGCTGTTTCGAGTGCAAGTTGTAAAAAGTCTGCAGCAAAAAAAAACCTAACAAGGCATAGAATGTGGCTTGTGACATTGTCCAAACGGCATTTTCTCGTGCTCCAGCTCAAGCAGTAAAGAAATGACAGGAGAGGAAGTGAGAGCGTTCAGTTACAGTCCTTTACTCTCCGAAAATTGGCTTCTTTGCAGTGATTTCAGGTGGTGACAAGATGTATTAATGCCAGACGTATGTCGACAAAACATGTGGAGCTCACTCACGCTCGGCAAATACATTTTGCCCTTAGGGCTCATTCGGCCTCAGGCTTACAAAACAATTTCTCAATCGGACTCAAATTGACTAAATTACTTACCCCGACTCACTCATACACAGACTCACCACTTCGAGTTTGAGCGAGTTCACGTGTGAGTTTGCCAACCTTTGATGCCAGATAATATTTTGAAATTCAGGACATAACAGGGCTAATTTAAAGCATTACTCAGATGGCTAGACTACATCACTGTAAACAAGAATAAAAATGTGCTGCTCAGTAGAGCTGCTTGCACTCATCTGGGGCTAGAAAATGTAAACCAATCTACAACTATTCAAAGTATACCCATGTCGTGCTATGGCCAAGATAAAGCAGTTTTCAATCACTCTTTAATATAAACTGCCTCAGGCTTGCATGTTCAACATATCGTAAGTACACTCTGAGCTGTCACTGTGCCTGTATACTCTTTTGTAATGCAGAATGTTTACGAATTCTTTCATTTTACTTTTGTGTGGATCAGCTTCTCAAGGAACATGTTGGGAGCCTGCTCAACCTGTGCATGTGTCACCTTGTGAAGAGAACCCCGATGAAGCCCTTTGTGGTGTAAAGGCTCAATCATATGCTGTAATATGTAGTGCTATTGTAGTTATATGCATCCAGGGTGAAAGCTTGGAAACTAAAATAAGGATTTATACTAACCAGAGAGAACAACTTTATGTCAATAGCTTGAAGCACGTATCCCTCAAAGCGTTGTTATGCCCTCTGGCAACTTTTTTACCACCATAAGCCATACACTGATCTAACCTTCGATATTGGCACGATTAATAGCTGGCAGGACGACAACGGAGAATGAAGTGAGCAGTACGAGCTAGTATGCAAGGTATGCACAGGGTAAAATTACAGAACGGCTTAAGGAATGCATATCAACTTATGCATTATCATCGAATATAAAGTGAAAACTTCTACTGATTTTTAGAGACGCTTCAGGAAAAAAAATGTGCCACATTTCACCTATTGCAAGCATTCATACTCTTGCTTCAAAATAGGGTTGTTGCAGCATGTACGTTAAATTTTCTCATATTTTGCTCCGTAGTCGAAAATCTCAACATGCCACTTTATCACAGAAACAATGAGTCAAGCAGCTGACAAGATAAACAGGGAGTGAAAGGCCAGAACACTGATACAGTGGAACCCATTTATAAGAGACACTAATGTAAGAAACAATTGAATATAAGAGACACTTGTGTGCGTTGATTTAAATAGGGGTTCATAAGAAAATGCTTACGTGGTACCCTGCTCATAAGACTTCTCATGTACATGACAAGAATTGCTCCCCGGTGTATGCCTCTTATAAAGGGTTCAACCGTATGCACAAATTGATATAAACAGTATAAGATCATGGCATCACACTATCGCACGCATCATCAGTCGTTGGGCAACTGTGTATACATGTGATGCTATGAAGCATTTAAAAACAATTACAAAGCCAAACGAGCTATGTAATGGCTTTTTATAGCAATTAAGCCAAAACAAGTTAAATCATTTTGACGTCATTTCTTCGAAGAATTAGAAAATTCTCAGCACTCTTGCATTGGCTTGAATCTGTCTTTACGGGAAATCTTTCTTGCGTGCAGGTACAAGAGCAGGGCCAGGAAACAGCATCACATCCATGTGCTAGTGGTGCAACTGCTACAGCTGTATCAACAGTGGAGGTTGCAGAAGCCCTTCTTCAGCTTTCGCAGTGCATGAAGGATGTACCAGACATCATGTGCACACAAGACAAAGGCATCCAGGTCGATATAGACTCCATTATAGGGAAGCAGTTCAGGCTTGTAGATATGCTGACATCAGATAATACTGTGCTTGCTTTTACTAGTGTGTCATCAATGACTTTGCTTGTAGTCATTAGTATAGAAGTGAGCAGGATTGAAGACGCAGTAGCTGAAATGTCTACTCTTGAACGAGTCATTCTCGTTCTTGTGCAATTGAAAACTTGCTTACCCTTTGTGTGTATGGCACCACTATTTTCTGTGAGCCGCACAACCATCTCTCGCCACTTCTACAGCACACTGTGTAACCTTGCAGCGGTACTGAAATGTACAATTTCATGGCCAAACAAACAAGAAATTGCAAGCAATCTGCCTCAATGCTTTGAAGAATATAAAGAGGTACGTGTTGTGCTAGACTGCACAGATGTTGCAGTAGAAAAATCGCACTGTGCTTCTTGTAGAATTTTAACATACTCTCTTTACAAAGGTACACACACAGCAAAGCTTCTTGTTGGCGTCTCACCTGCTGGCTTAATTACTTTTGTGAGATGCGGTTTCGGAGGCCGAACGTCAGACAGGACTTGTGTAGAGAAATCGGGAGTTCTAGAAAAACTCGACAGTTTTGAAGATGATGTCGTGGTTGACAGAGGTTTCAACTTGGGCTCACTATGCGAAAACCTTGGGCTGGGGGTTGTGCAGCCTCCGTTTCTTTGTGGACAGCTGCAGTTCACGGCGAAAGACTCAGAAAAAAAAACTCTAAAAATAGCCTGGGCACGTTTGCACGTTTGGCGTGCAATCCAGAGGATGAAAGTTCTTAAAGTTCTGAAGGAACCTGTACCTTGGGAAGTTGTCGGTGCCCTTGATGAAATATTTATTGTGATTGGTGGAATTGTAAATCTCTCCTCCCCTATTTTCTCTGAGCAAAGGTTCGAGTGATATTATAGAACTTGTGTTTGCAATGAAATGTAGTAGAACTTATTATGCAGGTAGTCAGAAACTGAGGTCAATGAAGAAGCTAAAGAAGCTGAGCACCACAACATGAGGGATAACACACCATTGTGCTATGTAAAGACTATTGAGTTAACGGACCGACACACAGGGTCCCTTGGGCAATCACCTAAGAAGACTTGAAAATGAAAGCCATCTTCTTTTTCGTCTATGTCGATGCACAGTTGTACCCCCCCCCCCCAGGACACGTGCGTTTGTGAAGAGAGTTATTTTAACTGCATTTCTGAGCTGAGGAAGTTATTTTCAATGTACTCCTAAGCATATGCATAGCTGTGTGGTAGAACACCTGCTAGCCACGCAAATGGCCTGAGCTCAATCCTCACTCGGACCCGGAAATTCATTACTTATTTTATTCGCATATGTCTCAATTTTTCAATCATGGACAAGGTGATTGTTCACTCGCAACCAATGATCCCGACGCCGGAATTTCTGTGAAACGAGTTCTTTAATGCTACCACGTTATTATTCCCAAACCCATTGATGCTTCCAACTGCTCACACAATGGCTGTGTATAGAGCACATGACGAGTGACATTACACATATCTTAAGGGCAGAGGGTAGGCCCATATCTCCCATGTATTCTAAGGCTTTAGTAGCATGCATTTTTTCTTTACTGCGTGTAAAGTGTTTGGGTTTGTTTCATTTTGTGCATTAGCATGTTCTTGCAGTGGAACTAAATGATAATAATCTATCCACTGTTGATATTTTTCGCATTTGTTTAGTGAAGCATGTACATTTCGTCATTACCTCATTATAGTTCGGTAGCTTCGTATTGATGTTTGGTTTATTTGAGGAAGAATTGATCTTCTGTCTTAAATAGGAAGTATTTCTTAGCGAACTGCACGCTATCTGTCTCGCCGCCTAAGCCTGGATGCTATGCTTCATGATCGCCTCCTTGAATTGGGGTAGACCAAAATTAGTATGGAAGGATAAGAGGGTTTTAAGAATATATGTGGCTGATCATGATATGAATTACGGGACAATCATGTCAAGTACATCGTCTAAACCTTTCTTCAAGACATGTGTGGCCCATACCTGTTATCATGGGTCACGGTAGACAGGTAATGCGAGAAAGGTGATTGACATTTTTATCTACCTAGGAATGGCGAGAACAAACATTGGTGATTCTTGGGGGCATTCAAACATTCTACCATAGTACCTCACCAGGTCTCGAAACAGTTTTGGAAAAAGGCCCTGTGTAGCCATAATGCCAGTGCAGTGTCAATTGTGGTGCTTGCTACTTAATTATATAAACCTAAATATTACCCATGTACTCTAATGATGCAGGCGTCATGTCGAGTTAACGTCATTTGGAGTTCAGGGCCATCCTCCAAAGTTAATTTAGGTTGCACTAGCCAGGAGTACTGTCCTCGCAAGCATAAGGGATATATATCAGTTAACCATTTCTGATGTTGGTAACATTCACGTTGCCGTTGGAAATGTTACGGAACTCTTAGCAACAGGTTATATAAAACACATGTGACTGTGTGTGCGTACAACATTTGTGCATATCTTTAGCATCATTTTGTAATGTTTTACTGAATGAATCAATTAAAACATAGTCACTTCCCTTCCGCATGTTTCGTATAGCATAAGATTCTCATGGTATGTCGGATCTGCCAAATTTGTTTAGGTTGCTCTGATAATTGGTCAAAGGTAACAAAAAAATAGCTTGGACATACAGAGAGCTGAAGTGAAAAAAAAAGTTCATTTCTTCATTTCATCTGCCATGAAATCATGACATGAATCATCTCCCTTTCTTTGTTCCTGGTTTGCCTTGCTGTAACTTCCGGCTTTATTGGTCGAATACTGATAATGGCGGTCAATTGCACCAAATCATATCGCAGCATTACGCCCAAACGGCCTTGATAGTGTTTAGTGCGGCCATGCAGGCCTTCTAAAGTCAGAACAGTTTCAAAGATGGCAGTTTTGGGGGCTTTTCATTTAAATAAAGATGATACATTGTGTTCTCTACGTGTTTCATGGTTCCTTTGCATTCTGTGCAGATGCAATTACTCGAAATCACGGTTTGTGGAAGCTCCACATAAATAAAGGGAGAATATCATTTGCCACCGCAACAAAATCAACAATAGTGCAACTAAACTGAAAATGGATGCACAGAACAGCGCCTACATGCACATCTTGGACACCCCGCAGGGGCGCCTGCGCAAGTAGGCGTTTGGTGTGTAGCGACACCACGGACCCGAGCTAACGGGGGAGTTTCTACTCCCTCCCACGCCTAGCCGTGCGTGGCTTTGTCGTGTCCGAGAAAAAGGGGATCCTGGGGGTTGAGCTGACGCTGGGTGATTGGACCTTTAAGGCCCCCCGGCAGATGCAACACACCCCTTTGGCCCCGGCTTCACGTAGACGGCACCCCTGGGCTGACCCACCGAGGGGAAATCGGCAGTCGCCTTTTCCTATCTCTCTCTCCCTACATCTTCGTCTTTATCTCTTACTATTTATCTGTCCTGTCTTCTACTCTCTTCCGCTATCCGATATTCATGGCGGCAAGGGTTAACCTTGTGTAGGTATCCCACCTTGGATAATTACATTGGGTTATAGTGACAGCGTACGGCTGGCGTCGGGAGGGCTTGTTTTAACAAGTCCAACCACGTCCCCTTGTTGGGCTCCGTGGTGGGTGGTCGCCGCTGTTACCGAACACATTCATACTTGTATGGCTTTACAAGCATCCGCCGACCTTGATCGGTCTCGCAAGAGAGGCCGCACCGAAGCAAGTTATCACGCCTCGAAAGAAACTAAAGTTACTTTCGCGAAGTACCACATTATCCACAGTGACAGCACACCTCTAAGAAAATTATCCCCATTTTTGGTGGCTAAATGCCTAAAAGAAAAAATAGGACCCACATACAAAGCATCCAAAATGTCAAGCGGTGACCTCCTTTTGGAGCTAACCGAAAAAGACCAAGTGCCTAAGCTATCCCAACTAACGAGCATTGGAGAAACAGCTGTCACCGTTTCGGTCCATCGCTCTCTAAACACCAGCAGGGGAGTAATCTCTGAGGAAGACTTCTTAGGCCTTAGTGACGAAGAGCTCCTCGAAGGTTTCCAAGACCAAAACGTCATCAAAGTCCAAAGAATTGTAATCCGTCGCAATAATCAGGAATTGCCCACCAAACACGTAATACTAACCTTTGGAACATGTGAAATGCCCACCTCTCTTAAGGCTGGGTACTTAAAAATAAATGTCAGACCCTACATTCCCAACCCCAGACGCTGTTTCAAATGTCAGAGATTCGGACACGCCTCGCACTCTTGCAGAGGCAAAGAAACATGCGCAAAATGCAGCGCAAACGACCACAAATCAGAAAACTGTTCATCCTCACCCCACTGTGTTAACTGTGACGGGGAACACCCAGCGTATTCCCGGTCATGCCCATGTTGGAAAAAAGAAAAAGAAGTGATCGCTCTGACCGTCAAAGAAAAAATATCATTCAGCAAAGCGCGAACACGGCTATCGTACCTTTCCCACAGAAGTTACGCCGATGTTACGCAGTCGGGGGAAGCGTCACAAAGACCTCAGGAGTCGACCGCTACCACACCCAGTGGTTCCATGGTGACTCAAACCACCCCCGTAAAAGAAGCAGCGCCAGCTTCTCCATGCACATCAAAGGGCCCGCAGACTCCGGTCTCCCTGGGCCCTAAACTCAATAGAATGCCAAGGCCTGAGATCAGTTTCTCAGCGCCTCACTCTCGATCTTCCAGCGCCTCAGACAAGGCAATGGAGATCGACCACAAAACTCCGGTGTCATCGACACCGAAGGACAAGCGCTCTTTCGAGCGTACCAAACAGGACAAGGACAAAGTCCCAGTAACCACAATAAAAAAGCGATAACCGTAATGGTTATCGTATTTCTCTCTATTTCTATTTCTTAATATTGTCACCTATCATCTTTTATACCGATCAATCCCCAGAAGTATATTTACTTAACTTTATTCTGCCATGGCTTTTATCGTACATTGGAACTGTAGAGGCTTAATTCATAACTTAGGTGACATAAAGGACATCATTAAAAAATTCTCACCAGTAGCTTTTTGCCTCCAAGAGACAAATCTTGGTGCAAAACACAGCCATTTCCTAAAAGGCTTCAAAGTTGCCCGAAAGGACCGCGAACATTGCAACCGTCTTTCAGGAGGAGTAGCCATAGTGGTGCAGGGCAGCACTCCTACGCGAGATGTCCAAATAAACACATCTTTTGAGGCCGTAGCCGTCACCATCCTATCATACAAAACCATCACCATCTGCTCACTGTATATCCCACCTCACACCCTTTTCACCACCAAAAACCTAGAAAATCTAGTGGAACAGTTGCCAAAACCATTTATCTTAGTTGGGGATTTCAATGCTCATTCAACCCTTTGGGGTAGCGACAAAACTGACGCAAGAGGGCAAGCCGTGGAAGATTTCATTTTATCGAACGACATCTGCTTTCTTAATTCCGGTGCTTTTACCTACTTTTCACCAACCTCGCGCACTTTTAGTTGCTTAGATCTCGCCATGTGTTCATCGTGTATTTTTAATGATTTTAAATGGGACGTCGTCAACACGTCTTATGGTAGTGATCATCAACCCGGCATCATAAAACTCATACCATCTTACCCAACTTTAACAAGCAGGCCACGCCGGTGGAAACTGCAGCTAGCGAACTGGCCAGTTTTCACAGAAAACGCTAAGCTCGATGAAGTTTTCTCATCGGAGCTTTCTGTTGAGGAACTAAACGAAGAGTTCGTCAAAGTTTTAATATTAGCAGCAGAAAAAGCAATACCGCAATCATCAGGCATCGTACGCAAGAAATTCAACCCTTGGTGGACAAACGAGTGTACTGATGCCAAAAAACTACAAAATAAGGCCTGGGGAATTCTACGAAGATACCCCACCTACGCCAACCTCATCAACTTCAAACAGGCAAAAGCCAGAGCCCGATTTATTCGAAGACAGGCAGAAAAGGATTCATGGCAAAAATACATATCAATTAACAGTTCAGTGACATCTAAACACATCTGGGACCAGGTAAGGAAGTTCAAGGGAGAGTACTCCTCCTACACAATACCACTGCTTACAAGTCCAGACACACAATCAACACTAGAAGACCAGGCCAACCTATTAGGAGAACACTTTTATAAAGTATCATGCTCAGCAAATTACACCAATACATTTCTGAAATATAAAGAAAATGCAGAAAGACGAAGATTGCCTACTAGCAGTACCTCAAATGAAAGTTATAACCTTCCGCTTACGCTGCACGAATTGATCAGGGTACTCTCTGCCGGTAAAAAAACGGCAACAGGGTCTGACCAGATACACTACACAATGTTGGCACACCTATCCCAAGCATTCGCGAAGGCACTTCTCCAATTCTTCAACAAAATATGGGACTCTGGCATAATGCCTGAAGATTGGAAAAAAGCCATAGTCATACCATTCCTAAAACCTGGTTAACCCCCAACAACCCCAAGTAGCTATAGACCCATTGCATTAACAAGTTGCCTCGCAAAAACTTACGAAAGCATCATAAATATTAGACTTACCTTCACTCTGGAATCGGAGCACCTAATAGACGCACACCAGTGCGGATACAAAAAGGGCTGTTCCACCACTGATCACATTGTCAGGCTGGAACAAGAAATACGACAAGAGAGAGAGATAAACTTTATTGAAGAATTAAAATTACGTGACTAATCCCGGGTGGAGCCCTCTTGTAGAGCCCCACTGGCCACAGCGGCTCGCCGGGCCTGGTCTAGGGTCACCAGTTGGCTCCCCAGTGCCAAGTCGGAAAGCCGTGCCTCCCAAGACCACGTTGTGAGTGTTTGTAGTGAGCGCACCAACCTAGATACTGCATTGGCTGGCCGCTCGGTACATTGGTAGGTTATGTGTGTAAGTGTGGCTGTGTGGTTACTACACCATGGGCATACCCCTGTTGTGTATATCTGTGGAAAAATTGCGTGTAGTTTTGATATGTGGGGGTATGTGTTCGTTTGGAGGCGGCGCCAATCCCGGGCTTGTTGGCTGCTTAAGTTCGGATGTGGAGGGGCGTACGTGCGTCTTGTAAGGCGTTGGTTTTCCAATATCTGCCTGCTTGTTACACTTTGCTCTTCATGATGCCCTGTGAGGTGTCCTGAGGAGAGTCCTGCGTCTCGGCCAGTAAGTCCGCGAGCTACGCAGTTTGCCTCCTCGTTCCCCCCCAGGCCGTCATGCCCTGGGCACCAAGTGACGCCATGTGCCTCCATCAACATGGACCCCAAAATATCAGTGACGCACCTTGGAAGTGTGCCTCTAAGGTATAAGCGACATGCAGCTTGTGAGTCTGTCAAAATATACGCTGAGCGGCCCCTTCTTTCGGCTTCTCTGATTGTCAAGGCTATGGCTGCTGCCTCTGCGGTGGCACTTGATCTGGTGCGTAGGGACGCGCAGGCCACGACTTTGCTTTGGTTAGTCACTGCCAATGCATATGCTTGTTTTCTGGAGCCTTGTGGTGGCGCAGGATAAAGACTGACGTCGGTAAAGTAAGCGTCTGGATCGCTACTTCTCTGCAGGAGTTTTCGTGCTCGCGCTTGACGGCGCTTTTTGTTGTAGAGCGGGTGCATGTTTTTTGGAACTGGTTCCACGATTATTTGATCACGTATTTGCTTGGGTACAATCACTGTCTCATCGCCACAGTATTGAGGGGTGAGAGGGTATCCCAGCCTCTGTAGCAGTGTTCTTCCCTGGAGCGTAGTGGCGAGTCGTTCTCGCTGTGCGATTAGCGTGGCGGCGGCCAATTCTTCATACGTATTATGCATGCCGAGTCCCATGAGTTTTTCTGTGCTTGTGCTGTTCGGAAGTCGCAATGCTGCTTTGTACGCAATTCTGATGAGTCTCTCAATCTGCTCTATTTCGGGCTTGCGTGTTGATTGAAAGGGAAGAGCGAACGTGACTCGGCTGAGAACGAAGGCATGTACAAGGCGTACCGTGTC